AGTGATATTTTGATATTTTATGAGGAAATTTAACTTAATCAACGAGTCCTGGTGTGGTGCAATAAGTTAAGCATTGTAATGATAAGACCAAGGTCAGTGGTTCAAACCCACTAGCTGCTCCTCGGAAAACCTATACAGGGTTACTATGAGTACGAACCAACTCATCAGCACTTAACAACAACAATAACCTAGTCCTTTTAATAGTTTGGATTTTTTTTTTATAATGAAATTTCTCCTTGAATTCAAATAAATGTTACACAGATTAGACTTTGTTGTTGTTAGGTGCCATTGCATTGGTTTCCTATACACAACAGAATGAAACACTGTCCAGTCCTGAGCTATCATCACAATCCTTGATACTGCCAATGTGCCAGTCTATTGCATTGGGAGATTTCCTCTTTTTTGCTGACCCTCCGCTTTAACCCAACATGATGTCCTTCTGTAGGGACTGGTCCCTCCTGTGTGTCTGAAGTATAAGAGACAAGTCTCGCCACTCTGCTTCTAAGAAGCATTCTAACTGTACGTCATCAAACGCAGATTTGTTTGGTCTTCTGACAGTCCATGGTACCTTTAATATTCTTCAAAATTGTAACTCAAATTGTGCCGATTCTTTCATGGTGGCCTTATTCGTTTTCCTTAGCTTCTGCTATCCTGGAATGTTTTGATTATACCATCATATTTGATTGACAGCTTTGCTGGGTAGAGGATTCTTTTTTTTTTTTTTTTACCGTTTTATTGTGAATTATGTGATAGTTTACACGGGAGAACATTAGTTTTACATTCATTCTATCGTATATCGTCTCATTGCCATGGTTACAATCCCCTCCATGCAATCTTTTCCCCGTACCCCCCAAGTCTTCAGCACACAGTCGCTCCATCGCTCCACGTCATCATCTCTGCCTCCATTTCAGGCACCACTGCTTCTCTGGGTAGGGTCCCGCTCTCCACTCTTCTCCCTTGATCATCCTAGGGACCTCCGCTCCTAGACTGAAATGTTAATCACTCCCCTCCTTGCTATAAAACGTCTACCTTT